CTCAGATCAGTCTGGGCAGCACAGCAAGACCGTCTGTGGGGTGAAGGTGGTCTTCTTGGAAAGTCTCTGGTTTTGACCTCAGGGTGATGCTGGCCTCTCCCTTCCCCTCTTAAGTCTCAACTTCTTCATCTGTCAGATAAAGATAACAGAAGCTGCTGTAAAGGGCTGTGCAGGTTCAGTGAGGGCGCAAGCAGAGAGCTCTGGCAGGGCGCTGTGCACAGGAAGCTTCCAAAGTATCTCAGCTGCTAATAAGAATTGAAACAGGAAGTAAGCAGCTCCCCTCCCTGGTAAGCGGCGGTGTGGCAGACTTCGGCCCCTCCAGGGGGAGAAACACCAGTGTCTCCTGAGATCCGCGCCATGTTGGAACTTAGGACGCTGGGAAGCCAAGCAAGCAGCCTGCCTCCCTGCTAAGCAATAGTGAGCTTACTGGTGCACGGCCTAGAGTCAAACATCCCACTTCCCCTTCCCTCCTTCCCCTGTCCCCCATTAGCAAGTGGGAACCAGAAATCTGAGCATCTCCTGGGAGGTTGACCATAGCAAATAAGGGGGACTTCCTTCTACCATCTCTTTGAAGGCAAATATTTTTATTGCTGTTTTGCTCTATTCTGATGAATGGTACAGCTCTATTCAATATTCTGTTTTGATAAGTTCTATAATGTTCTGTATTTCATTTTATTTTGACATACATGATTGAAAGAACAACTATTGTGAAGATAACGAGATATACTGTGATGCCTATTACTGTTACCCCGGTAACCTGCTGGGAAGTTCGGTACCAATCTCACTACACGGTCTCAGTTGGCTTTATTCGGTCTTGTTCTGTTGTATTTTACTACTTTCAAAATAAAAAAAAAATTAAAAAGAAAAAGAATTGAAGCAGAGCAAGGGTTTTCCAGGTCCTGGGCAGCTTGGCGGGCAGGCTTACGCTCCGGTAGGAGCACCCCAGCTCCCACAGATTTCGCTTGTGTAACTGTGGGGATCGCAAGGGGACGCAGCGCCTGGCGGGCCCTGGACACTGGCTCTCGGCCTAATACATGCAGAGGCTGCTTCTGTTTGGCGGACTCATCCGAACCTTCCTACTTTCTCTGGTATCTTCCTTGTTACTCGGCAGCTTTTGAGAATCCGAAAGAAATGGGGCCGGGGAAGAGAAAACCAAAATGCACCACACAGGATACTTCTCTTTATTGGGTTACCAGGGATTCTCAGGGCACAAAAAAAATGTGACCAATAGAAATAGGGGGGGAATCGGGCTGGAGATGATATGGGTAGCATTTCCCAAAGAGGTAAGTTTTTAAAAGTAGAAGTTATTTTGTAAAAATCTTTGGGTTTACAGAAAATAGAGGAAGTGAAAGCAAGTTCTCACGCATCCCACCTTCCCCCCGCACCTTGTACCCCCACAGAGTGTGCCTGTTATTAACATCTGTGGTACATTTGATACAACCGGTGAATCAATATGAAGATATTATTACTAACTGCAATCCACAGTTCACATTTGTTTGTTTTGTACCGATGGCTTGCAGCTCTGGATGGTTTTATTTTTTATTTCATGATGGTGCAAAAGCAATACACATTCAATAGCAACTGTCCTTGGGATTTTGAATTTGGGGAATGCCCTGGGCTGGGGCTATGTGGTAGGTACCACACTCTGTCCCAGTCGGATGTCCTGTCACGGCCTCACACACTCATAGGTGGGGCTTTTGGGAATGGGGGGATCATGGGTGTGTGGTCGCGGGCTATGGGCGTGATAACTGGGTGTGGATTTTGGGAAAACCCACCCTGGGTGTGGGCGGCACCAAGCAATAAGGTTGTAGCCCTGATGGAATAACAAGAAGGCAGAAGGGAGGCTGGTACTTGCTGTTTGCCCTGCCGTGGACTGGTTCTGCTTGCCATGCCCCTCTGCCATGCTAGCCTGCCTTCGAGCCTGCCAACTATGGGCTGAACCTCTGTAAGCTCTTCTCCTTTAATTTGGGGCTGTCAGATACTTTGTCCTAGTAATGAGGAAGTAACCAAAACATATTAAATCAGTTCTTTTTGTACACCAAAAAGAATTGGATTCATTTTGCTAATATTTTGTTGAAGATCTGCCTCTGTATTCATGAGAGATGGTTGGTTTCTAGTTTTCATTTTTCCCTAGCTTTGGATACTATGGTGATGTTCGTCTCATCAAATGAATTAGAGAGTAAGTATTCTAGAAGAGGTTGTAGAGTGCTGATATCATCCTCCCTTAAATGCTTGATAGACTTCACCCGTAAATCCATCTGAGGTTGGTGCCTTCTGTTTGAGAAGGTTGTTAATTATGGATTCACATTCTTTAATAGACACGGGTCCACTTGGACCACCTGTCTCTCCTTATGAGTTTTGGTGGATTATGTCTTTTAGGGAGTTGGACTGCTTCATCTAATTTATCAAATCTGTGGGCAGAAAGTGTACACAACCTTCTCTCATGATCCCTTTAATGTCCATGAGATCAATGGTGATGGCCTCTTTCCTGCCTACTTGTAATTATTTGTGTCTTCTCTCTTTTTTCCTGCTTATCCTGCTAGACATTAACTTTATTGATCCTCCCAAAGTATCTCTTTTTGATTTCTGTGTTAGTCAGCTTTCAGTGATTGTGACAAAGTACCTAAGACAATCAGTTTAAAGAGGAAAGGTTTATTTTCGGCTCATGGCTTCAGAGGTTTCCTGTATCATCTGGCCTCGTGCCCTGGGGGCTGTGTGACACAGGACTTGCGATCTAGAGTATATGATGGAGGAAGCTGCTTACTTCATGGTGAGCAAACAGGATAAACAGAGATGGAGAGGGGCTGGGGATTTAGTTCAGTGGCATAAGCACCTGCCTTGCAAGCAGGCAGTCGTGAGTTCGATCCCTGGTACCGGTAAAAAGGAAAAAGACAAAAAAAAAAAAAAAAAAAAAAAAAACAGAGATGGAGGGAGGCCTGGGGTCCCAATGTTCCCTGCAAGACCACGTCCCCAGCTTCCTACTGGCCCCACCAGCCAATAGTGCGTCAGGCTGGCAACCTTAACACAGGGGCTTCCGAGGAACATTCATGATCTAACTAGAACCATTTGACTGGGTAATAATTTTTTCTGTTTTTATGCCTTTCAGTTTGGCTCCAATTTTTACTTCTGTTCCTCTGCTTGTTAGGCTTATTTTGCTTTTCTTTATCTAGTTTTCTAAGGTGAAAGCTTATTTTAGATCTTTTCGTTGTTGTTGTTATCTATGGATTCAACGCTGCACATTTCCTTTTAAGAATGACTTTCAGTGCATCCTATAAATTTTGACGTTATTTTTTATTGTCACTTGTTATGATTATTTTTAACTTCTCTTGAGACTCCTTTGACCCGTGTTTTATTTGAAAGTGTGTTGTTTCGTGTTCAGGTATCTTAGGATTTTTCAGAGACTTTGCTGTGACTAAATTCTAGTTTAATTCCATTGTGGTCTCAGAGCAGAGTTGGCAGGATTTCTGTTCTTTTAAACTTGTTGCAGTGTGTTTTATGGCCCAGAGTGTGGTTTATCTTGGGGAGCGCTGTACCATGTGTGCTTGAGAAGAATGTGCGTTTTGTTATTGTTGGATTGGATATTCTATAAACGTCATTTGCAGATGTTTATCAGTGATGCTGCACAATCCTCTGTGCCCATATTAGTTTCTGCCCATATTAGTTTCCATTACTGACTGAGGAATGCTAATGTCTGAGATATGAGTGGACCTCCAGTTCTAGTCCTTGTTCCATTGGGTTTGTCTTATGTATTTTGGCACTCTATTGTTAGGTGCATATACATTAGATCTTCTTATGTCTGTTTTGGAGAACTGGCCTTTTTATCATTTTGCCTCTCTGTGTCCTCAAAAGCTCTTCTTGTTCTGAAGCCTGCTTTGCCTGCAGTTAAACAATTCAGCTTTCTTTGGTGGTTTCTTCTTGGGAGGGCCAGCATGCTCAATGGAAGCTGCAAAGTGGGTGGGAGCACAGATATTTTAACTGGGGACACCTGGGCACAAGCAAGGGTTGTCAAGCTAATGACGTCACAGAAAGCCATCATTCTGTATACCTAGGTTTCCCCATTTACAAAACGAATTCTCTCTGGATTGTTGTGAGCATGGAATGAAAAAAATGCAATAAATCAGTTAGAAAATTTTCTGGCATGTAATGTTTAATTACATTGCTACTCTCATATATATTCTGTGATTAATAAAGCTATTGTGTATTAATATACCAAGGGATTTTAGATTTCTAAATGACTACCTTTTTATGAAACCTAAATAGAACATGCCAGGAAGATAGAAAACAATTACAAAGTCTCTTGCTGCTGTGGATATATTGCAGGCTGTGCCCTTACGAGGCAAAGGTCTTGGCCAGGGGCAGTGGTATATACACATCTGTAGTCCAAGCGACTCAGGAGTCTGAGGCAGGAGAATTTGCTTAACCCCAGTAATTCAAGGTTGGCCTGGGTAAAAAGTGAGACCTCATCTCAAAAAGAAAAATTACTTCAGGGTGACTTGCAACCAGCAGTCAAGGCATGTCCTTCCATCCCTCAGGGCCCTGTGTCCAGGGGAAAGGGCTGTGGCCTCCTCAAGGCTGAACATTGCTCTGTCTTCCTTTTAAAGAAAAATCACAGAGGAGCTCCTAGTACCCACTGTCAAGCGTAGACACGCTCAGCTGGGCATGGTGGTGCCATCTACTAAGAAGGCCGAGGCAGGATCACCTTGAGTTCAGGTTCAGTTTGGGCTACACAGTGAGTTTAAGGCCAGCCTGAACTACGTAGTGAGACCTACCCCCAAAACCAAACTGAAACGAAACAGAACAAAAACTAAAAATCATGCACTAGGTGTGCCCTCGGGCAAATCTCTTTGCCTTTTGGATCCTCAGAGTCCTCCTTTTAAAACAAGGATTGCAGGATGACCTAGCGAAGTTACACAGGTCAGGCTTTGCACCCAGGAAGCACTCGTGAGTATCAGGGTCGTGTGACTTGTTCTCTCGGTCGTGACTGGCCTTTTCTACTTCAGTCTGCAGACATCGACAACCACCACGCGCTTATTGAGTACAATGAGGCCGAGGGCAGCTTTATTCTCCAGGACTTCAATTCCCGCAACGGCACGTTTGTCAACGAATGCCACATTCAGAATGTGGCTGTGAAGCTGTTTCCTGGGGACATCCTGAGGTTCGGGTCTGCTGGGCTGACCTATGAGCTGGTCGTCGAAAACCCACCTCAGGTGAGCCCGGGCCACTGTGGTCAGGAGACACGAGATGCCATGCAGTGTCCCCTCCCTTGCAGCTAAACGGTGGAGCCCATCCCAAGGGGTCACCCTGCAGCATCACAGCAGTGACAAGATGAGGGAAGCGCTGAGGGCTATCCTGGGCATTCCTGGGGAGGAGAGAGTCCTGGGGCCCTCTTCTGGGCACTTCCTTGAGGTTTATGCAGCAGCTTCCAAGGCCTAGCCCTGGATGTAGCTGCAGGAGAAGGGGTAGCAAGTGGGCTGTGTGTTGCAAAATAGAATAGATGCCTCCTTTCTAGGAGAGCAGTGCTCTGCTGCTTGCCAGCTCTGCAAGCGGTAGTTTCTGTGCATGTCTGAGTCTCCTCCATGGTACACGTCACTAGGAAAAACTCCGTCCCATATGCACTTGCTCAGCACGGGAGACCTAGTATTATACCCAGGTCAGAAAAGTGTGGGGATTGGGGCTGGGGATTTAGCTCAGCAGCATAAGCACCTGTCTTGCAAGCAGGCGGTCGTGAGTTCGATCCCCGGTACCAATAAAAAAGAAAAAGACAAAAAAACATTTTTTTAAAAAAGAAAGGTGTGGGGATCACAGCCTAAATATGGTCTCAGTTTAATTAAATGTAATATAAAATTTGCCTACGAAATCTTGGTCACAAGGAGCGTGTGTGTGGGAGGCAGTGTGGGGGTGGTTAGGGACAACTGGTCCCTTGTGCCGCCACAGTTTACGCCGGTGCTCCTGAGTAAGTATACGAGCCCTCAGAACTTGGATCTTTCAGTGATGCAGTGCGGCAGCGATAGCCTGTTATTGTAAAACTCAGTGCAGTCCCTGCTGGTTCATGGCAAACAGAAAAGTGACACCCGTCCCCCACGTGCCAGGAAGATGGCGCATGGGCCTCACAGCACTGCGTGGCCGACCTTCAGGCCTGCAGTGCTTCCTGGGGCAAAGCGATCGCCAGAATCCTAGGGATGGGGACCTGCAGGCAGCTCTGCAAATGCTCTCCAGAGGAGCGGTCCTCAGGATCCCCACAGGCTGCAGGGACCAGAGCTGGGCCCACTGCAGCCCGCAGCCTGCAGACCAAGTCTAGGTCATTCTTTGTCTTTATAAATAAAGTTTTATTGGGACACAGCCGTGCCCGTTCATCTCAGTGTTGCCTGATGCACGGACAGGCAGAGATCCCGCAGGACACAAGGAAAGCTGCTCTCAGCCCTCCCACAGAAGTTCACCACTCTCTGCTGTCCTCCTCTTAGTCCATTCAGTCCATTAGGACCAAGGAGAGCAGAAAGACTGAGGCATTCCGAGCTGCCATGTCTGTCAGGAACTGTCCTGATTAACGGTTAACTTAGTTAATGGGCAAATGGACTCTGAGCGATCTTGTCATTTTCTAAAACAAAGCTTGGAAATATGTCACTGTAAATATTCATATGCATCTATCCCACACCTGTATGTAATAGAATTATATACAATAATAGAATTACACTGACACACCTGATAAATATACTGTGTGTCTGTGTATGATATATGCAGCAGGCATATATTGTAAGTTTTACCTGGTTCTTTGCTTGGGAAGTTTTCTTTTAAAGCTGTGGAATGTTTTCCCTGGCATGACTTTTGAAGCAGAAATGTAGGGTTTTATAATCTGAAATCAACTATAGATACAGAACTGTTGTTTCTGCTGAGTTTCTCTGTTTAATGTTTTACCATCGGTTGATAATCAGTACCTGGGCCTTGAATCATGTCTTCTCTGGGTCACTGCTTTACTTTTATAAGTTAAAGGAAAATTCACTGCGTGATTACAGCCTGACGTGTTTTATTTGGGCCTGTCAGGGCCTGTAAACCTTTCATTCTGAGTACATAACAATGCCGCTTGTGCTAATGTTTCAGTAAACATATTGTCCAGGAAATTTTGTTAGCAAGTATAAGAACCTCAACTCAAACTAGTTGAGGCAAAACAAAACAAAAAACCCTGAAAAGTCAGAGTGGTCGGCTTCAGGCCTGGCTGGAGAGAGGTGCTCCAAATGAAGGTCAGGAATCGGTCTCTTTCATCACTGTTAGCTTCACCAACTCAGGCAGATATTCAGATCATCTACACACAGATAGATGTCCACCAGCAGCCCCAGCCCCTCTATTCTTGGAAGCTCTAGAAAAAAGAAAAACAAGTTCCTCCATTGATGTGGCTTGGGCCATGTGCCTATCGATGAGCCAATCACAGGGCCAGAGGCATGGAACATGCTGATTGGCCAGGACTAGTCAGCCCTTCCCCCGGGGTCAAGGGGATCAGCCTAGGCACAGTTACAGGGGCTTGGGATTGTGGGAAGGAAGGATGTCCTCCCATAGAAAATTTGAGGTGCCCACCCAGAAGATGGGAAAGTGGGTGTAATGTAAGGGGGGAAAGTTAATGGCAATAAGAACCATGCCTATGCCCAACTGAGCTTCCTCAAGGATCAGGATGGGGCTTGGGGCCGAGATGGAAAGGATGGCGCGTCCACATCTGCACTGGAAAAGTCCCAGCAGCCTCACAGGAAGAGGCGTGGCTGGTCCTCCACCCAGAATTGGGGCTTAGTCAACCATCTCTAGAAAAGTGGAGTCTCCCACTTCTTGGGACCTTTACATAAAACTCATGGGGGGAGTAGCCAAGGGCTTTGGAAGAAAATACCATTTGCAAAAACCTAGAGATTTTTCTCAATAGGTTCTCTTTTTTATTTAGCGGGCTGACTAGCAAGCATGTTAGAACTCAAGGGAAAAAAATCCTTCAGCTTCAGGATTTATAAAGGAAGGGAGCTGAAATGGGCCAGGTGCACTGGAAGGTCTTTAAACCCCCACGGCCAGAGCCCAAGGTAATGGCTTTTTCTGAAGCCCATCAAAGGAGCCTACTTCTTTAAGCTCCAGAACTTAAAAATACATATAATTCGGCACTTCTGGATTAAGCACTATATTTTCTTGCCTTCCTAAACTGAAAATGCTGACATAATTTATCCTTTTCAGGCTGGATTTAGAATTATTACCCCATTGTGGAGATGCCCTAGGAGAAATCAGGATGAGGGAAGCTGGTTGGTGGCACAACAAATAGCGCCCTCTGCTGGCTGCTAACTGTGACGTCTGCATTTACAGTCTACCCTGTGCCAGGGCCGCGGTGTCCCCTTCCCACCGCGACTTTCTCCCTTCTGTGCCCTCTCAGTTATGTGCAATTATACAGGCAACATGGAGTGAATCAGAGAAAATAGGGCTGCAAGTGAACCCCAAGGGACCCCCATGAAAAAGCTGCATCTCTAGTTACAGCACGGATTTTGTGCTATTTCATTCTGGCACCTCCTTTTTTGGCATAACACCTTTTTTATTTTTGCATAATTGTGGATTCACAGAAAGTTTGTAATGATAGCACTCTTTCCCCAAATTTCCATCCGTGTGACCACAGAATACTTCCCAGCGCACATGCACACACGCACGCACACCTGAAATCAGCCTTGCACACTATAACACACTAGCTTCAGTATGCACACCCCACCCAGGGCCCACTCTGCCCTCGGACATTCCGTCCTTGTCTCCTTGCTCTGTGACAGTCTCTCGATCTGTCCTTGATTCTCACGACCTTGACATTCCTAAGGTGTACGGGCCAGGGGTCCTGGAAAATGTCCCCCAGCCTGGGTCTGGCTGATGGTTCTCCCTGACCAGACTGGGGTGACAGCTTCCAGAAAGCACATGACAATCATGAGGTGCCCTCACCGTCCCATCAGGTGCGAGGCAGCGCCGAGAATCCCTTTGACTCTCCCAGAATTGGTTCCCTTCGTTGCTAGCTAGAGTGCCGTTTGCCAGGGTTCTCCATCCTAAAGTTACTGTCTTTCCCTCTCCAAACTTTCCTTTTTGGAAGCAGCCTGGGGGGAAGGGGTCCATTTCTGGAGGGCATAGCCTCAGATGTGCTAAATTCTCCTGTAAGGAAGATCGCGCCTTCTCCCACAGGCTTTCATGTACTCAAAAGTAGATTTATGTCAGCATGCATTCGTGTATATTTGTTGTATACTTTGGGTTTTAATCTACCTCTCTGTCATTTATTTTGCTGCTGAAATTATTGCAGCCTTAACAACTGGGCACTTCCAAAGTGGTTATTCAGGAGTGCGTATTCCATCTGACAAGGCCTCCACCATTGTATGTTTTGTTTTGTTTTGTTTTTAACACTTTTTCATTTGTTGCTCTCAGGGCTTCTGGTATATTTTCCCTGGCCCAGTGCCAAAATCAGCTTGTCATGTATGCCATCTGTGCATCTTTATCCTGGTTCTGCCGGTGAACACCTGCAGTGTGTGCCAGGCATGGTGCTGGGCGCTGCACCCTTTGAAAAAGTAAAGCAGACACGGATAAAGCTTATTGACAGAAATGTGTGTGACACACACTCTGCAATCAATAAAATACACCACCCTCTCCAAATCCCATGCAGCCTTTGCCCCTCTCCGACGGCTTTCATGGGTTTTTGCTGAGCACTTGGATCCTTAAGGCAGGAGGCATGAGGCGGTAACAAAGAAGGCACGTGAGCTTCCAGCCTGAACAGCAGTGGATGCTTTGCTCAGCTTCATGTGTAAAACAAAAGCGAAATAAGAAGCGGGGGGACCTCACGTATCCATTGATGACCGATGACCCGAGAGACTTCTTGGCAGAAGAGTGTCACTTCCATTGTTTGTGCTGACCATGATGCGATTGGCACAGGTACAACCTTCGACTTGGGTCCCTAATATCTCCCCAGACCCTTCTTATGTACAGACGATCAACAAAACAAAAAGTCAAGGTGTAAATGCTGCCACCGTGGCCAGTTTCCAGCTGTAAAGGAACAGAGAGAGACGAGAGCTGGAAGGAGACACAGCAGCTCCGGGTCCTCAGCATCTCCAGCACGCAGGCCGCATCAGCAAACTCAGGGGGAAGGAGGGCAGGGAGAGACAAAAAGTCTAGCAAAATAGCTGGGGTGATAACCCGAAGCAAGAGCCGGCAGCCAGCTGGGAAAAGCGGGTTG